TTGTTTATTATGGTCTGTGCATCTTCTAAGGGGATTATCCACCATTTTAATAGATTCTCATACAGGTTTATGAGTCACAAAAGTTTACCGGCCACTAGCCTAGAGCTCTGAGAAAGGTGGTGTTTGTGTAAAAGATTGTGCTATGCAGAACTTTAACAAGCATCAGAGAGGGACCTGCAGCACTAAGGTAAACAGAGGGGGCGGGAGGGACTGACATGGGCAGTGATGAGGTGCAGCCTGCCTGTGCCAGGGCACACCTGCCCAGGTGCACCGTGCCTGTCCCTCTGCCTGTCGGCCAGGACTGCGCTGGTCTGGACGCAGCAGGACACTGGCCACAGCAGCCCTGTTGAGGGAGGGCTTCGTTTTTCTCACCTGACAAGTCATCCAGGGTGGGTGATGCTCTTGCTCAGGGACCGCCTCCCTTGTCTCCTGCACAGCCGTCCGTAGGGTGTGGCTTTGTCCCACAGCCAGGCCGGCGTCACTGGGGGCTGGGACCATTATCCGGGCAGTAAGAAAGGGAGAGCAAAAGGGGTGTGGGGTCTGCCAGCTAAATCTCTCTTTTTACAAGGCAAAGGCGAACTTTCCTGGCCACTGCACCCAATAGAATTCCACTGTTTCATAAGCCAGAAATTCTTCAGTCACCTGGGAGCTTGCGGGTGGGAGCTCTATGTCCCCCTAGTTCCATGGTCGGCAAACCGCGGCTCGCGAGCCACATGTGGCTCTTTGGCCCCTTGAGTGTGGCTCTTCCACAAAATACCACGTGTGGGCGCGCACATACAGTGCGATTGAAACGTCGTGGCCCATGCGCAGAAGTCGGTATTTTGTGGAAGAGCCAGTATTTTGTGGAAGAGCCACACTCAAGGGGCAAAAGAGCTGCATGTGGCTCGTGAGCCGCAGTTTGCCGAGCCGCAGTTTGCCGACCACTGCCCTAGTTGCGTTGCAATGTAACCATGAACCAACTAGAATTTCTGTTAGGAGGAGGGGTAGGGGCCAGTGGAGATTGTGTGGCCCCAAGTGGCCCACACATGTGCGTGGGAGCGTGTATCTGTGGGCCTATTTCTCTGCGGTGAGCTGGCAAGCATGGATTAGTTGGTCGATTGGGCCTAAACACTGGCCTATCTGCTTACTGTGGAAGTGCAGCCAGGGTTCTAACGTGCAAACCTGCATCCACAGTGCCGTTGGAATCAACGACAGATACAATCACGTGGTTTTAAACTCTTCACATGTAATTCTGATACATGGCAAAGGATTCCTCGTGAAAGGAGAATGCATTTTCTTTTGGTTTTGTTGAGACACAATTGACATACAGCACTGTATACATTTAAGGTTCACGGGTTTAATACATGTATAAGTGGAATGAAAAATGCATTTTAATAAAACCCACACGCAATAAGAGAATAAATGAAACAGCCCCAGGGAGGGGTTCCCCTGGGGACACAGGCAAAGTCCCAACCTGAGAGGACTCAGGGCACCTCCATCATCAACAGGAAACCCCAGGAGCCTGGCCACAGAGCTGCTGCTCACGGAGTCCACGTGGAAACAATGGGCGGCCTTTCTCTGAGCTCTCTCCCCAGACACCACGGGACACCGGAGCGGTACGGATGGGTTTCTCCCAGCAGGGGACCCGGGGCCGGCGGCTGCAGCAGCCAACGATCCGGTCACCAGGGAAGCCCTTCGATGGGAGACAGAGGGACCAGCGGTGACAAGATGTAGACTCCTGAACCACACGACAAAACAGGTCTGTAAATGTGCGACTGCCCACATAGAAGCAATAGATCCCTCTTTCCACAGACTTTGTGTTGAATGAAGTAATGCTGACTTATATATAGGACCCCACCCAGGTCCTGGGTTCCCCCGCTCCCATACCCGCTCCCATTTTTTTCACACCCGACCCAGCCAGCCCACAGTCCCCCTGCACCCACCAAGTCCCCCCCCCCCCCCCGGCCCCCGCAAGAATTCCTTGGTCGAGCTGCCTTTTTCTCTGCAGCAGGTTTGGGGACGTTTGGCTGAGACATTGTGGCCTTTCTCCGAAGGCCAAGAACCCTAGTAACATTTTGCCAGAAACTAAGTATGAACATAAACTTAACAGCATCCTCTTCCTTGGAAACTGCCCATCTTCTTTACATGAACTCCGAAGGTTTAACTTGAAAACCTTGTAATTTAAGGGGGAGGCTGCTGAGAAATATAGTCTTCACAGTTCCCCTCCTGTTTACCACAGCATCATGGTGTTCTAAGCGGGTGGATTTGCCTGCATCAGAATTTAACACACGAGGAAAAAATGATCAAGTGTGTCCTTGCAGAAATACCCACAGACTAAGAAAAAGAGTGAGATTTTCTCCATTTCCAAAAGATAAAGCTCAGAGAGCTACTCAGCCTTTTAGAGAGATGATTGGCAGATGCGTTCGGATCGTACCTCCTCTCTCGTGGTTACAGTCTTTTAAAATCATCCAAAACCCCTTTGATTTATGGTTTCTACGCACCCCAAGGAATAACGGCAAGGTGACTCAACAGCTGTAGTTTGGGGAAATAGCAGCCCTTTATTGAGTTCCCAAAGATGAAGTTTAACCCGTGTTTCTCTTCCATAAATATTCTTTGTTCACCCCAGCTCCGCAGTGTTTGAAGAGGTAGATTCGGGTAGTCTGACTCCGTAGAGAGCCGTGGAGCCCTCCGTGACAGCTGGAAGCCATCCCCGGGAGAGCAGCATGAAAAATGAGAGCTATGCAGTGAAAAATGTAGGAGCTGTGAATGCGGTGGTGAGGTCAGCCTGCAGACGCTAACCGGTGTCTGGCACAGCCCTCCTCCTGCGCCCCAGTTGCTGATAAGAGGGAGCCAGATGCTCGTATCTGCCCAGGCCGGGGAGGACCGAAACACGCCCCGTGGCAGCCTGGCCCGGACTGCCCCTTCGCAGAGACCTCCTTAAGGCAGGATGAACAGAGACCCGAGAAATCACATCTGGGCTGCTCTCCGCTCCCTGACCCCTCCCTGTCACCAGGGCCCCTCTTTGGAGATGGTTCCCTCCATCCCAGCCCTTCCTGGCCCGCTCCTGGGTAGCTTCTCCTCCAGCTCTTTGTAGGGGGGCCCTCGATCCCTGTCCGTTGTTAAACACCCCTAAGTGCTGGTGCCTTTCCTCCAGAGAGTCCCCCTCACTTCGTGGTTGCACCGTCTTTAATATGATTCTTTCCTGGACCCCTGCCTCCCCCTGGACACGCTGGGCTGCTGCCTGGTCTGGCTCTGCTCACCACGGCATCCCTGATGGCCGGTGTAGCCAGCACAACAAACACCTGCCCTAGGAAGGGAAGGGAGGGGGAGGGAGGAGAAAGGATGAAAAAGGGGGCAGGGGGCAGGGGGCAGGAGGGTCACCCAGATTCTCACAGGGAGGGTCTGGGCTGACAACCCCGCAGAGCTCCGAATGGAAGCTGAGCACGTATTTGTTTTGCTGACACTTTTATTATGTCCAAAATGCAAACAGCCAGCCATTGCCAGTCCTGAAGCGAGAATTTCCTCCTTGCTGCTCATTTATCGTTCTTAATGTCACTCTTCAGCAGCGTCTTCCATGGCGCTTAGAGGCGCTTAAAGGAACAAAACTGCCATCATATTTTACAAACCGTTTCACACCCTGAGAACTGAGAGCTGAATATACGGAAGGTTTCTGAAAACTGCCTGCAGGCGTCGGGTTCTAATATCATTACCTGTGGCTTTATAGCTCAGCTTTGTCAAAGGAGGGCTGCCGCGGGCCCCGGGAGCTCGTGGGAGCGCCTCTGGTCTTCTGGGCAAACGTAGGGCCTTGAACTGCACTGCCTGCCTCTGGCTCTGCCACAAATGCTTTCTGCTGCCACCTTTTCCTCCGGAGTTACGCACTCAGATCTAGCGTTCAATGAAGAAGGAGCAACATAAGGTCTAACCTCTGAGGAGTCGGCCTGAACCTCACATAAAGGGAAATACAGTGGGGCCTTGACTTATGAGTTTAATTCGTTCCATGACGAAGCTTGTAACTCAAATTACTCGTATGTCAAATCAACAGTGAACGAATGAGACACGTGATGCTGGGCTGATGTTGTGGCGTTCACTGTGACTTTCGCTGCGCCAACTAGCTGTAGGGTATCTGAAGCTGGCTCGTAACCCGAATTTTAGCTCACAACTCAAAGCAAAAAATCAGCAGAGAGACGGCTCGTATCTCAAAAAACTCGTTAGTCGTGACACTCGTAAGTCAAGGCCCCACTGTAGTGGTGTTTTAGAGTGGCAAGTGGGAGTCACGGAGGAGGTTGCTCAGACGCCAGGATGCAGCCGCGTCCCTGAATGAGCGTGGCCGAAGCCGGCCAGCCCCTCCCTGCCTGCATCCCAGGACACCCCCTTCCACCCTGCAACGTCCGATGTGATGTCCGATGTGATCTCAGCCATGCTCACCACACCCCCAGCACATAGGGGAGGGGGGAGAGAGAGAGAGAGAGAGAGAGAGAGAGAGAATAAGGTGGGCAGTTATTATAGAGCAGAGGCATGGGTTTCACTGCCCTTCTCTCCAAACCTGTTCACTGCTCTTGAATAGTCCCCTTAGTTTTGAATTCACACTCTCAGTGAAAGTGCTCTTATACCAACACCATCCACTCAAGTGCATTCACTGGAAGCTCCAAGCCCTCTGTGCGTGTTTATCGTGTGCTGAGCCTCGATGCTGCACTGTGTGGGGAGCAGACAGGTCCTCTGGACTCACTGGTAGTTGGGGGCTGGGGACATCTGTTTTCTTACCAGTTAGCTCTTTCGTTCTTCATTCGAAGGATTAAATTTCCTTTCAAAGTCTTTCACGCCTATAGGGACTAGTTCCCTCTGCTACTCTGGTTTACTGTTGTTTTGTTTTTCTATTTTTTTCCAACCTTTTCTTCCTGCAAAGACAACACATGAAGAAATAATATAAGGAGTCACTGTCCCGGCTTCCCTAGGTGTCCCTCATACTCACCATAAAACGCTGATCCTATGTGTGTCCAAACTTCACCTCTGCCTTCATTCATTTAGTGAAAGAAGCTTCTAGACTGGGTAAATGACTCTTTTTTTAATAAATGGGAAAGTTGGACTCTTGCTTCTAGCCATGAGGTGTAGCCAGTACTGAACTTGCCCACCTACCATGAACAACTAGAAAACTGGACAAAGTATAGGAAACAAATGTTTTTAGACATCGGACCAGGGTCATTGCAGGATTCTGAGAGAAGGAAAGCAAATCAGGTGAACTCCTCTGATGTCACCACATACCCCGATTCTGGACCACGGCACAGGGAGAGGAATCCCCAGCATTCCTCCTTGAGCCAAGGTCTCCTCGAGCTGAGGAGCAGAGATCGGGGGTCAGGGAGGCCAAGGAGAGGGATGGGGTGGAATGAGCCACACAGAAGAACTGCCCTTTGAGAGCTTCCCCTCCCGTCTTGAGTCTTTGGTTGAAAACTGCACTGTGCATGCATAGGATCAACTCTCCAAGGTCAAGGAAAGAACCACTATTGGAATTTGTAAGTTTCACAATTTCCAGAGCTCACACAGTTCCCATCAGTCAAGTGGAGAGACCTTGTTGCATAAACAGAGCACGCAGAAAAGAACTCAGAAAGGTCATGCTTTAGTCATAGACAAAACTAGCCCAACAATAAAAGCTAGTTTAAACCTGTCATTACAAAAAAAAAAAAAAAAAAAACACGTTAAAAACAAGACTCAAAAAGATCAATCTGATTAAAAATTAATTTAACTGCCTGCCAAAAAAAAAAAGAAAGCCCCAAAAAACCCGCAATAGTATTAAAGGAAGACAAAAAAATCTGGACACTCAAGAATGTAATATTCACAATGTCTAATATGCCATCAAAATTTACTAGACAAGTGAAGATGTGAAAGATGCAACATGGAGCTGGGATAAAAACCAGTCATAGAGGCAGACCCAGGAAAGATATAGATGATGGAGAGATAATGGACTTAGCCAAGAAAGACTTTGTTTTCTAAAACAGTCTCCTACCCTCAAGAATTTTAAAGATAATAAGAACCTAATGAAGAGAGAAATTGAAGGTAGAACCAAAGGAAACTGCTAAACTGGATAATATAATATCTGAAATAATAAAAATTCTCCATACCTTTGCCAATCCATGGGAACTATCATGATTTTTTAAAAAATATTTTAATATGAAAATAATTCAAACATACGCAAAAATATAGAGAAGAGGATAATGAACTCCCAATATCCATCCCCCATTTCAACAATCCCCCAATGTTCTTTGAGTTTCATCTGTCCTTCCCAAACTCTTTTTGTTTTTTTCTGGGGCAATTAAAACAATTTTCAGATATCATATCATTTCACTCCCAAATACTCCAGTGTTCATCTCTAACAAATAAGTGGCCAAAGCTTAAACGCATACACACAATGCCATTACCACACCCCAAAGATTAGCAATAATTTCTTCCTGTTGCCTGTGAACCAATCCCTCCTCCGTTTTTCCTGATTGCCTCAGGGAGTTGGGATTGGCCATTTTGGTGCATTTGCTCCTCTCATCGCTTTTAGCTGAAACGTCTCTTAATTCTCTTGCCGTCTCCTCTGGTTTTCCCAGGGCAGGTATTTGTTGGAAACAATCCAGTGATTTTCCAGGTCATTTTCCCGAGAGAATGTCTCACTTCATTGAGGAGTTCTTTATTTTTTATTTTATTTAAAAATAAAAATATATTTATATGTATATTTTATTGATTTCAGAGAGGAAGGGAAAGGTAGAGAGATAGAAACATAAATGATGAGAGAGAATCATTGATTGCCTGCCTCCTGCACACCCCCTACTGGGGATCAAGCCTGCAACCCATGCATGTGCCCTAACAGGGAATCAAACCGTGACCTCCTGTTTCATAGGTCGATGCTCAACTACTGGGCTACTGAGGAGTTCTCTACATTTCTTCTAAGCCTCCTATTTCCTGTGCGTCGGTAGTTAGATCTAGAGCAAGCATGTCAAACTCGCGGCCGGTGGGCCGCATGCCTCGTTTATTTAAACTCGCGGCATACCGGCTGCGAGTTTGACATGCTTGGTAGAGGCTCGATTAGGTTCAGGTTGGAGGTACAGTAATACTGCACAGGCAGTGCTGTGGCTTCCTGTTGTGGAGCTGCAGGAGGCCCATGTCTGGGTGCCCCATCTTCAGTGACATTAAGATGATAGGGATCAGCTGTTGCCAGCCTGATCCACTCATTATAAGGTTCCCCAACAACACTCCACCTCATGGCGTTAGCTCTCCCTTGGAGTTGTAATTTTAAAATGTCTTTGCCAACTCAGTTGCTGATAAATTGGACCTATCTATTCTAGTTGGTCAGTGTTAACTTGTTACTTATTTCTCAAGTCACAGGATTCCTCTCCGATTCATCTGCCCACCTCCTTCCTGGCCAGGCCTCCTCACAGGGTCTCGGTCATCCCTGGTGCACTCCTAGTCGTGCCGGTCTCATCCAGCTCTGTGGATGGCTTGATGCAGAAACTACTGCATGCACAGCCCAGGAATTGCCTCCGCATTGCAGGCCACAGTAGGTACCAGGCACCGGGCCCTGACTCCAGCTCCCCACTGGAACGACTGCTTTGCGTGGCAAGGTCGGCGATGTTTCTGAAGCCGCCGGCTTTACAAGAAAGAGGCCAAGGTCACCGTGAAACCTCCATGGACAGGCTGCACAGCCCCCAATGGCACATCCTTTCTCTACCGTGGCCGGGGCTGCAGAATGGGAGATGGTTAGTGCAACAGTAAGTCCGCTCAATCCTAGTCACTTTTCAACGTCCGGGTCCTCTTCCTAAGACACCCAAGTCCGTGTGGGCTAAGCCATGAGCAGTGTGTGGCACAGACACTGTCCTGAGTCACTGGGGCTTCTCCCCTGCCAAGTGGGGTCATTGGCTTTGGGCCACTCTGTGCTTGTCCACTCTCCCTCCCCTTAGACTGAGTTATTTCCCAAGAAGAGCCAAAGGCTGGAAACAAATACTCCTCGGTGGGGTCAGCCCAGAGGCCACAGAGACACGCCCAGATCTGCCTGAATCCCAGGATGAGCACAGGTCAGCCTGCCCTCGGGAACCTGCCCCCGCCTGCCCAGTAACAGCAATGAGTCGCACCCTCGGAGAGGGGCAGGGTGCCCCCAAAGAATGTTTTTCCAAAAGATGTTATTTTGAAGGCAAACAATGTAAGGACTATTTTCGTAATCCAGGTATCTCTGTGAAAATGTTGAAAATCTCCCTAGGAATTCCTCAGGCAAGAGGCCGACTTGAGAAACGCCGTGGACAGCTGCCCAGCCAGCCCTCCGGGACCACGAAGGACACCCACATGCACGCCGTTCCGTCCCCGCCCCCCGTGAGACTCCGTGGAGCCACAGGCACTGACCAAGGACATGCTTTGGAGTTCGGTGTATTTTTTTAATAGTTTATTGATTTTAGAGAGAGAGGAAGGTGGGGAGTGAGAGGAGGTTGGAGGGGAGCGGGATTCAGGAATGACATCCTTCAGGAGGGAGAGGGAATGTGACCCAGGATCAGACGAGTTTCCCTGTTTGGAGCAAACAAGTTCTTCCCCTCCCAGGGCCCCTGAGCAGGAGCTGAGCCACCTGACCAGCGTTGTCTTCAGCAAGAGGAGCGCCCGTGCCAGGACTTAACACGTCAGCATTGTACACAGACAGCCCAGCTTACCAACCACCCACTCCACCCAGGAGGCAGCTTCCCACCCGGAGGGGTTTGAAAAGCCACAGACCCACCTGTCCCCTCCACCTGCCCCAGACTCCCCAGCATCCTGCCTTTGTCCCATTCTCCTGGGACAGTGGTCGGCAAACTCATTAGTCAACAGAGCCAAATATCAACAGTACAACGATTGAAATTTCTTTTGAGAGCCACATTTTTTAAACTTAAACTATATAGGTAGGTACATTGTTATTAACTTAATTAACGTACTCCTAAAACTTAGGAAGAGCCACGCTCAGGGGGCCAAAGAGCCGCATGTGGCTCGCGAGCCGCAGTTTGCCGACCACGGTCCTGGGAGAAGAAGGCGCCCTCTTTTCCAAGGGGGCTCAGGTGCCATGAGTTAAGCCACTGCCCGTTTGAGGGCGGTGCCACCTGTCTGCCAAGGGCCCCGAGGCTCCCTGGGCCTGCTCAGATGCACCTGCCTCTTCCCCTTCACGAACCCTGAGCTCAGACAGCCGGGCACGCATGCTGCACCTGGAGCTTCCTTCCTGGCCAACTATGGAAACCACAGGGAGGATTTCCAGCTCAGCTCCAATGCTGCCTCCCCTGCCGCCCCTCCCACCTCTCCCCTGCTGCCCCGTGTCTCCCGAGGACTCAGTCACATCCAGTCACTTCTGTGCCCAAAGCAGCCAGGCTCCCAAAGCCCTCTACCGCCCTCCCGGGCCACAGGGCCCTGACACTCCGGAGCAGTGGTTCTCAACCTTCTGGCCCTTTAAATACAGTTCCTCATGTTGTGACCCAACCATAAAATTATTTTCGTTGCTACTTCATAACTGTAATGTTGCTACTGTTATGAATTGTAATGTAAATATCTGATATGCAGGATGGTCTTAGGCGACCCCTGTGAAAGGGTCGTTCGACCGCCACAGGGGTCGCGACCCACAGGTTGAGAACCGCTGCTCCGGAGGGTGAGGGCCAGGAATCGCTCCTAACCCCAGTCACACCCATGCCTCCAAGTTGAGCCCGAGGGACACACCGTTTCACTTTCCTGGAAAACTTCGTGGTTTCTCCAAAAAGTGGACTTCCCCATTGTGGGGAGGCTCCTCACCCTGTGCTGGACACTGATTCCTCCAACAAACTTCTGGAACATTCCTGGGAACGCCCTCCTCAACACCTCCTTCCTCCCTCCTCCGTGGAGCCTCCACAAGTGGGGACTGACCCCTCTACCTCAGGTCTCACCAGCCATGCCCGTCAGTCCTGATGCTGGCGGCCAGGTAGGCCTCCATCCATTCCCTCCGCTCACCCCCTCGTCCCAGGCCCAGGCCCCATTCCCATCCCACCCCCCTGGTGCACTTGCCGCACCCCAGCCCCCTGCAGCCTCGCTGCACCATCTCACAAACGGGAGGAGAGGACACCTCGGGGCTCCCTGGGGAGCTGGGGCAGGAGAGGGAGAGGCTGGTTGAGGTCACTTCCTCCCGGTGGCATTGCCCACTCGCTGCCTCCCACCCCAGAGCCTTTCCCACGGCCAGGGAGGCAGAAAGACGGGGTGGGACCTGGTGTGCTTGGTGTCTACTCATCATCTGGATAGCAGCAAGAAAGAGGGGGGAGGGCCACACGACCACACACTGCATTTCCCAGCGTTCACCAGCTGTGCCTGAGGGGGCTGAGGAATGAGGGCCGATCTTGGGAGCCGAGATCTCTCCCCGCCCGATCCTGGGGCATGAGGGCCTCCCACAGGAGGGCGGTGGACAGAGGGTGGAGGGATGGAAACATCTGTGGACCCTCAGACTCAGGGCTGGTCCTCCCTTCAAGAATGTTCAGATACCGAGCTGCTCTTGGCACAGGCACACCTCTGCTTTCATGGCCGAGTCAAAATAAAAGATGGGTTTCCTCGGCAACCAAGGAAACATCTCGAGAGAACGGTTATATTGTTTTGAAATGTTTTGAAACCTTATCAATGGTTTCCAGGGAAACCCAGGCTTTCCTAGGTAACTCTAAGAAGAGGCACAGGGGAGCAGGTCTGAATTCACAGTATGCAAGCACGCAGCCATTTGTGAAGGCAGAAGTATCGAGTTCACTCACATCTGGCATTTAATGTTCGTGCCTGTTCAGTCTGACATCCAGTGACTCCTTGGGGAGGTCAGCATTACCTGGGTCACAATTTAAGACATCACACAAAGTTTTAAAAATTATGGCACTTGTGAATCCCATGAGAATCGAAAGTTTAATTGATATCATGAAATACACTTTGGGGAAAACCAGATTTAAAGGACCACCTCAGCGGCCAAATTTCAGTCAGAGCAGCTTGTCAGTCAAATGGCAGCTGTGTCCTCAGAAGCAAGGGTGGGACCGCCAATGAATCCGGGGAAGGTGGCCCAAGCCCTCCCGTGTCCCACCAGGCCGTCCTCACCGTGGCTCCGACTCACCATCACTGCTCCCCACTTACACTCAGGAAAGCGTCCGGCAAGCCTGCCTTCCCAGTGGGTGCTGACTTTTCATTCTCTCTGGCATCCGCCGAGGTCGCCAAGTGCCTCTGCCTCCCTTCAGCAGGGAGTTCCTTTCCGTTCTCAGCTGGTTCGTGATCGCCTCTCAGGCTCCGCTTCTGCCTCTGAAATTCACCTTCGCCCTTGCTTGCTGTGACGGCACAGGAAGTCCTGGCTCTGAATATTGCTCCAAAGAGCAGCAAGGGAACAGCCGACGGCCACCATCCTCTACGTCCGGTCAGCCCTACATCACCACATCACTTAGGAACATCTTGTTTAATTAAAACGTGCATTTCAATTTCCTGAGTGATATTTTTCACTGTCACCGTGCTGTGCACATGCTTTATATGGCATCAAACACAGCGGACCGCAGGCAGGAACAGATGGGTCTCACTCTGTGTCAAACTGATAGCATATCACACAGAAAAATAACAGTTAATTTGAGCTTGAAAAGGTTACTCAGACCATACTGCCTCCAGTGGGATATATTTTTAAAGACAAAGAAATGTTGAAATGTACATAATAGGTTTGTTTTCAGTAGTGATATGGGTGCAGTGATAATAAGACTATTTCATGCGTATTCTTTTGCACATGAGTCACTATACAAATGTCAGAAGCCCAGATTCTTGCTGTGGGAGGAGGTAGTCCCACAGGAGGCGTGGGGCTGTGAGGACAAGCTCCCTGATGTTGGGTTGGAAGTGAAGGCATCGTCAGTATGAACTCATGATGTTTTAAAAAACATATTTGAACCTCTGTCCATTGAAGAGTTGAAGGAACAATGACATCCGACTGTAATGAGCACACAGAGCACCCAGACCTTGGTTTCTAAATACCTTTCTCCACCAGAGGGAAAGGTGGCTGACCCAGGCCTGGAGCGGGGAAGGTCCAAGGTCAGCCTGGGACACCCAACAGTGCCAGGAAGAAGGATGTGCCCAGAGACTAACGGGGGCATTAAAGTAGCTGCATCTCACAAGTGACGAAAGCCGAGTCAGGTTGGCATTCGGTTCCCAGGACTGCCGTGACCGATGGCCACAAACCACCCAGCTGAAACAGCAGCCGTTTCTTCCTTCATGCTCCGAAGGGCAAATCTAAATTCCAGCTGTCAATAGGGCCAGGCTCCTGCTGAAAGCTCTAGGGGAGGGTCCTTCCTGCCTCTTCCTGCCTCGGTGGCTCCAGCCTTCCTTGGCTGGTGGCCACCTCACTCCAGTCTCCCCTGTGTCTGCACTTGGCCATCTTCTCTGTCTCTGTAGGTCTCTGTGCCATTTTCCTGGCTGTGATTTTGAACCATAATTATGCATGATGCTACCTTTGGGGAAATTGTGTGAAAGGTTTATGAGATCTTTCTATTTATTTTCTTTACAACTGCATATGAATATATAATAATCTCAAATGTTTGTTAAACAAAAAATGTTGTCCAAGGGAGAGACTGAGGGAGGAGGAATCCACAGGTCCTGGCGTCTGATTGGCTGCAAGACAGAGAGAGACACTGAAGGAGGCTTGGAAGTTCCAAGCCCGGGTGACGAGGGGAAACCAGGACAGAACAGCAGGGGCAGGAAGGGAGGCGCTAACCCCAGGGCCAGACCAGGGGACGCTGGTCAGCATGAAGGCCTGAGGGACTGGAGCGTGCTTCTCTTTGGGATGCAGGTAACGCCGGGCAGCTGGAGCCAGCCTACGGGAAACGGGCAATTTCCTAGGAGCCTTCCAGGGAGACCTCGAAGCTCAAGGCAGACATGCAGTTGGGACCAGGGTGAACACACTCCACCTTTCACCTTTATTTTCCCGTAACATACTGGCTTTCTCTCTCAGTCCAGGGCTGCCCCCAGCGCCCGATCCCCTGGGAGCAACTGACCCCAAACTCCCAGGGAAAAGTCTCCTAGGGGGGTGCCCTCCCCTCGGGGCCAACAGGGCAGGGCCATTTTACACAAGTGGCCAGAGCTCACCAGAGTGTGACAGTCTCAGGGGTCATCTTGAGCTGGGCAGGCACCCCCAAATGTATCCATCACAAAAGTCCTTAGAGCGCCTTGTATTCAGTCCAATATGCTTACTGGGACATTAAAATGAACCCCATTTCCTCTTTCAAGAGTGGATTCTCATGTTCTCTGACTATCACATGTTAGAAAGATTTTCAACAAGAGCTGAAACTAGCGTTTAGCCTGGCTTTTAGGAAATCAGAAAATTAAATTAACCAGAACATCAAATCCCCAATCTGAGAATCAGAGTTTTATTTTATTATAAATCCAAATTTATGCAAGTAAAGATCATTCTCGTATGGATATGCAGTAGCTGCTTCCCCCACAACCCCTTAAACTTTCTAAAACCATTCCTTATTATTCGGATAATTTATCTGAAGATAGTTCCTGGTACGATGACCTTTTAGCACAAGGCCGTTTTTTTTTCATGGAGAAACACTGTTTCTTCACACAGATGAGCACACACACCCCGGAGTGTCGTCGTCTGTGGCCTGAGTTGCTCTCTGGGAGGTTTGCTGTGACAAATCTCGTCATCAGCTGAAGGTCAGGCGCCAGCGCCCTGCGGGACAGAGAGAACTGTGGGACCTGGAGCCACGGGGAGGGCATCAAAGCAACACCATGAAGGCCCGCACACAGACATTTCTTCCCTGCTCTTGTAGGAAAACCTCTCAGAGGAGGATTTCCCCTCTTGCAAGGGTGTTTATGGGACCGAGTCACAAACAAGCACCACGTGCTGAGTAAATAAATA